AGTTCAAGTGGAATTGTTTGGTATATTTATTTATTTGAAGAAATACGCGGATTTTATTATAAGGATTCGGCCACTCTGTTGCCAGTAATCTCACAAATATAGCAATAATTTGAAAGAACTTAATATACGCATATATAGAGGTGATTTACCATGGAAAGGCCGAACAAGAACAAGCGGGTTGTGCGCGATGAGAAACAACGGGAGCTAAAGCTTGAAGATATGGTAAGTAGTGATTCCAGTAAATTCTACACATTGAGTACAAAGGCAATAAAACAAATAATAATGTGAATCCCGTTACCAGGTGCTGAGATCCTTAGATGAATGCACCACAAATGAGGACAAATTGAAAATGTTATTGCAGCGGCACGTGGAGAGCGAGAAAACAGTGAGCCGGCTCACCGCCGAGATGCGTGCACTACAGCGGCACATGGAGTGCCAACAACGGGAGAAGGAGCAGGTGCAGCGGGAGCTGAACAAGAGCGTTCTCATGAGGGACAAGCTGCAAGAGGTGTGCCGGGAACAGCAGCGCATACTGAAGTCTGTGAAAAACGAGAGTATGCTGCAAATCAAGGTCGAGGAGGAGCGACGCAAGGAGAGTCAAACGAAATTTCAGAGCTCGTTAAACGAGGTGCAAAAGTCTCTGTCTAAAAACAACGAGGAGAACGTTAAATTACGTGATTACAACACCGAAATGACCAAAAAGTAAGTGGCGCTGCCGCCCATCAGCAGAGAAACACCGGTGTTCGATGTCTATTTATAGGCACGACACTGCATGCCGTTTTCTTGTGGATGTATGTATCTGGCTGCCACATACATACATACACACGCACAGACACAAATATAGGCATCAATCGACCATATGTTCGCGATACATATATTTGTATATATAAATGTATTTTGGTATATGTTTTTAGGTTGAAACTTCTAGCTGAACAATATCAGGCGCGCGAGAAGCACTTGGAAAAACTGAACGAGCAGGTTCAGCTCGAGTCTCAGCTGCATCAAGCGAAGCTCACCAAGGCTCAGGTTGAAGCTGCTATGGAAAAAGAGATACTAACCAAGTGAGTACTAATTAAGTAGTTGCTCTCTTCACTCTTATCATATATTTTTAAAATAGAGAGAATCAGATTGGCCTGGAGAAGTTGTTGCAGGCACAGCGCTCGATTAAGGATCTAACGGAACGGGAGCAACAGCTCAAAGAGCAGCTTAATATCTATACGGCGAAATACGATGAGTTTCAGCAATCGCTTAAGAAATCCAATGAAGTCTTTGGCAGTTACAAGATCGAGCTAGAGAAAATGTCCAAGCACACCAAGAAAATTGAGAAGGAAGCTCTGGGCTGGCGGCAAAAATATGAGAAAGCGAACGGCATGGTCATTGAATTGGCAACCGAAAAACAACAACGAGACCAGCAGGCGGAACGCCTACAAAAGCAGGTGGATCAGTTGCAGAAGCTACTGCGCGCACTGCAACTAGAGCGTACAACGCTTCACCAGACTCTTCGCGAGAAAGATATTCCAATTCCTGCTATGCCGCAGCTACCGCCCGAGCCAGAGCCCATTAAAGTTGTGCCTATCAACACGGACAGTGCCAAAATGGAGCTGATGACGCGCAACTGTGCTGAACTGAAGCAGACGCTAGCCAACTTGCAGAATCAAATGAAGCTGCTTACCACAAATGATGCGAAAATTGCCGCTGCCGAAGCAGAAAGGAAACAAGCAGCCGAAGAGCAACAGAGGGCAAACAATATCAAGAGGAACAATAAGAAAAAGGCCAAGTCAAAGGCTAAAGCTGCAGCAGCGGCTGCTGCAGCGGCGGCTGCGACCAACGGGGAAGCTGATACTCCCAGGCCTGAACCGTCAACAGATGGAGATGCACAAGCACAAGCTGAGGCTGAGCCTGAGCCAGAACCAGAGCCAGAAGCCGAGGGCGAGGCTGATGCCGACACAGAGGCAGCAGAGTGTGAAATTGCAGAATTCGACAATGTGGAGCAGCCCCAATCTTCTGAAGCTTCTGAAGGGCACTGCAATGCAAACGATGCTGATGCCGAAATAGTGCCAGAGTCTCGGCAAGGTGACTTAGCGTCTTTTGACCAGTCGGAAGTGCCTGCACTGATTGATTCCAAGTAGGATCGGGGGCCCGACATTAATGCGCCTCCCTCGACTGTCAATGTGTTTGTGCTTGAAATTATTGCATCCTTCTTGTATATGTGCATTTTGATTTATTCATTTTTAAAAATATTTATGTACTTTAACCCAACAAATGTAAAGCCATCAGCGGAATAGAAAGAAGGAAAGAAAACAGCTCAAATCGAGAATTTATTATTTATTACATTTTATACCTATTTATTAATGAGCCCATTAAGAGCTATTCTAAGCACAAAATAAAATATAAAATTTTCAATAAATGAATTTATACCTCTAAAATAAAAAAATAAAAAAAATCATTTAATTAGCAATAAACCATATATGTATTCACATATGTATAACCAGAAGGAAAATATTTACAATTTTTATTTATTTTTAAATCGGATATAGTTCAGCCTTATCTCGTATTTTTGAATATTTTAAATAAACCAAACCAAATTATTAATTTTTTTGTTAAATATATTTATTTTTGCATAAAACTCTTTGTTTTCATTACTCTAAATGCATATGTGCTCTGAGCAATATTCCTTTATAGTAACGGATATTTAACATAAATAATAATGATTCGACTATCGAACGTAATATATACTCTATTTATGTATGGATATAAATTATATATATGAAGATATATTTTTTACAATTTTGCTCAATTTCGTAAAATATATGACACTCCGATGTTAAAAATATTTTACATCTGTGGATATTTCTATAACTAAAAACCGAAAAATAAATAAAATACGATACATTTTTATAATATGAATACATACATATTTATATCACATATTGTAATACCCATAATATACAATACAATTATATCTTACAATAAATATAAAACATTGAAGTAGTTTGCATGAGTATGGAAACAAATTCTTTATATTCAATTTCAGGTAATATGACAACTTAGAAGTATTTCTGTGCTGGAATCGAGTCAGTTGAAAAATTCAAAAATAGAACAGAATAAGAAATTGGCTCAGCTCTATTATATCTGATTTTCTGTTAGAATATCTGAACAGCACAAAGTAACAGAGTTAAACTATTTTCTTGTTTAGATTCGTAGCACCTCATAAACCTTCAGGAAATTATAATTAAATTCTTGGTTTCTACCTGTATAGAAATCTTAACCTCTTCAAACACGGAGAAACTAGTTTCTGAATTAGTTAAGCAAATGGCTTAACATAACTTAAACTGCCTTTAAAATTGCTGGTATTTTGTTCGACTATGCAAATTCTTGAGCTGCTGCAGTGTCGCCGTGCGTAATTGGGCTGCAAATTGGCAGTTGGGTGCCACAGTGTCTGCCGTGGCATGCAACAAATTGCATTGACTTTGTCCAGTGTTTGCTATGCAAAATTGTTGCTTCACGGTCAATATGAGCACAGCGTAATTGCGGCACGCAGCTATCATTTTAGCTAGCCGTGCTACGCTGTGATATGCATATTTGAGGTGCCACGCGTGCCACGTGGCGTATGCGTAATGTCCACAATGGTGGATGTCGAGACGCTGGACGGCTTACGCTAAGCTCTCACAATTTAAATAAAGCCATTTAAGTGCCACACTAAAATAATTACAGAAAACATTTTAAATTGCATGAGGCGGCAGGCGACTACAAGGAATGACCCCAATGGCCCCCACGGGCCGGGTGTGAAATTTCGCCAGCCATATAGGCGACACATGTGCATATTTCACACTTATGCACACTTACACACACACACACGCGCGCGCGGCCTCACTCACATTCACACACACACACACACAAATGTGTGCACATTTTGCAAGCAATGAGCTTTTGAACATTTAATGAGTTAATTCGCTAAATTTGAAAGGCGCGCAAGCGTGCGCCAAGTGCTCGACCAGACTGTTTCCTGCCATGTTGGCACCCTCGAAATACCCGTTACTCGTTATCCGATTCCCGGTGCCAGCTTCATGGCCGTCATCCCACAAGTTGCCCATTTTAAAGCATGAAACATGAAAATGAGAAAACGAAAACAACAACAAAACACACACACACTTATACACAGAGAGAAAGGTATACATAAATACATGGACACTGTGTAAGCACTTGTCATTTAGCTGTAAAATGTCCGCCCGTCCATTGGTGAAAAGCAAGCCACTGCTCGATACTCAACAATGCAAGGACGCGAGGGCGGCATGTAAAGGATGCTCATGCTAAGCTCTTGGGTATAATTTCTCAGGCAGTGGCAAAAGACGACGATGGCAGCGAAAGTTAACAGCGAAAGCTAACAGCGTCGTTGACTGAGACGCCAGCAGCGCAACATGAGCCCAACATATGCCCCAATACCGAGTCGAGACTAAAAACAGAACAGAGATGAGGCTAGCTGAGCAAGGAGCAGCCCACACAGTCTTTTATTTTTGTGGCGCTGCCAGACTGTGTGACTGCGGCCTAACAACAGTGGGACGGATGCTATTGAGCACAATGGGCCAAGTGGAATAATACAACAAAGCTGACCTTCACTTTTTATAACTGAATGCAAATTATTAGATTTAAATATAACACAAATATTTTATATATCAATATGTATCAAATTTAAATTAATTTAATATACACAGACATTAGTAAATTTTAACTCATGTTTTAGCTTTGCGTCCCATTGTCTGCGCGGGTTGCCATCGCACCTATACCAGGCCATCCAGTGGGCCTCTTCGCCTCTCTGTGTGTTTCTCACTCTCTCGCCTCGTGTCCTCTCTTAGACGCTTGCTCTCGCCGCAAGAGGCCTACGCCGCCAGCGCTGCGGCGAGAGCATAATATGGTGAAGCTGTCGGTGCTGCCCGCCGTTGCCGTTGCCGTTGCCGTTGCCGTTGCCGTTGCCGTTACCGTTTCAGTCTCAGTCTCAGTCTCAGTCGCAGTCTCAGCTGTCAGGCGTCTGGCAAAGCTGTGCTTAGTCAAATTTCGGTAACGGAACCTGCTCGTCATCGCTAGCGCCGAAGTAAACGTAGACGCCGACGTCGTATAGCCGACACGAACACAAAGCGAACCGAATCGGAGTTGAAGCGACGCGACGCGACGTCGACGTCGCTGCCCAGTTGCCATTCGAGCCTCTGTCGCGCTCGACTTCGCTGCAAGGAATATAATTGTAATCAGTTGTGTATAGGACACACGCGTGTGCGCATCGACTGGTCCCTTTCTAACGAAATCGTCAACATTCCGCTAACGGAAACTGTGCTGCTTGGCGGTAAAGCTGCGCGACTGGTGCTCAACTTGTATTTATCTGCTGCTCTTTTAATTGTTGTTGTTGCTGCTGTCAATTGTTGATTGTGGTTCTTGTTGTTGTTGCGCCATTGGACTCTATTTGTCAAATTTGTCAAATAAACGCGCGTTTCATTTTTGGCATAGCAGCGTAAATGAAAATTTTTTTCAGTTACAGCTGCTGGCGGTGCCACGGCCGCAGCTGCTAGTGCTGCTGCTGCTCTGCCAACGTCGCAGCCGCTGCTTTCGACTGCGCTGCTGCGCTGTCCGAGATAAAGGATATGCCCGGATCTAAAAGATACAGTTTTTTTTTTCGCCAACTTGTGCAGGCTGCCTGCTTGGCTTTTTGCTGTGTCGCTTCGTTCCTAAGCGAACTTAAGCAGTAACAGCAACAACAACCACAACAACAATCACAGCAACAACATGAACAGCAGCAGCAAAGAGAGAAAATTACAATGTGTGTGCGTGCGGCTTGGATAGCAGAGTAAAAATGAGTGACAAGTTGGCAAAAACCAAAAATGAACAAAAGTGTGCGCAACTATGCAAATAAATTAATAAGCCAAACTCATTACCAAATTAAAATAAGACACGCAAATGCTGAAGGCGGGCAGCCAGAAAAAAATTAAACAAATAAAGGAAGAGTCACCACGAGGACCTTGTCAAGTGCGTTGAGTCGCGTCGAGTCGAGTCGAGTGTGGAAAGTCAAGAGGTTCTGGGTTCGGAGTGTCAGAGCTGCTGGCATGCTTTGGGGCTAACTCGTCCAACGTGCTCGTCCTCGCCCTCGTCGCCCCCGTCGTCCTCGCTATCCTCGTCGTCATCACCGCCAAAGACATCGAAGGTAAATATATACGTAGCACAGCTAGGCCAAACAAACTAACCAACAAAGTAAACAATAGCGTAGCGCTACAAATGCAAATTTATTACCTAGACACATACCAACACCTATGCAATATTTAGAGTTCAACTATTTAACCGTTGCACAGTGCAACAGAAATGCTCTGCAAGGCTTGAGCAGCATTTACCGAAAGGATTCGAGTGTAATATTAACAAGTTATTCAAGAGAGAAATAACAAACACAATAATAAATTCATCGTAAATTTGGCAATTTAAATTAACAGAATGAATAAATTCACAGTTTTCAAGTTAAATTTATAAATTTGACTTTTTTTTATGATTTAAACTATATTTAATTTTAGTTTCATTTACAATTTCATTTATTATTTTTAATATTAAATAAACTTATTCATTTATTTTTAAGCTCTTTGAATACAAAAATTTTCTTAACTTGTAATATTTTTTTATATTTAGATTTCTTGACAACAAATTGATTTTTGCATTACTTATAATTTATAGCCACTGTGCAACTTTCATTGTCATAAAAAAGTCATAAAACCAACGAGCATGGAACAAACAAGGAAATCAAAATGAATTCAATACTCTACCAAAGATTCAACTGAAATAGAAGTAGAAGTAGAAAGTTAAGATAACAATAACGAATGGTCTATATCTACCTTAAGTTACCTATGTCTGTCTGTCTCTCTTTGTCTGTTTGTCTGCCTGCTTGTGTGTTTGTTTGTTTGTTTGTGCATACATTTTTAATCGCATGCGATTTATTTAACTAGGCGCTTTGGGTACACTCACACACAACACCGAACTCCCAATCAAACACTGGCACAAAAGGCACGTACACAGTGGGCGTTGTTAGTTTGCATACAAAGGCCAAATGAGAACCGTCAGGTGGAAAATCAAAATTCTGACAAAAACATGTTTACATGCGGCGATTCCTATGTCGCGCTCATGGAATTCATTTGGTTTATTAAAATTTAAGGATGCATATATAACATACATATGTATGTATATAATGTGCAAATATAATAATATATACATACATTATATATCTATACATTATATTATAGTATGTATAATCAAATTTTAATTCATTTTAAAATATTATATATCATATATATTTATATACTATATATATCCTCTGTATACAGAGGGTTGAGCTTCAAGTCCCATGTATTCCGATAACCTAAGTTGAAGTGGCTATTTTTCGAACGACAGATTAATAGTCCCTATCTTTATTTTACTTCTACTAAATAAAATAAAACAAAAATAGCTGCAAAATCTGTGAGTTATATAGAAATAGCATGTATTGAGAAGAGAAACTTAACATATTATGACATAATATATATGGCAACAACAAAATCTGAACTTTGAACAACAAATCAGACACGAATCTGACAGCCAACAAACAGCAGACAAAAATACACAAAAAGCAGCTCATGTGATACATGGAAAGCGGATACACATTCAAACTTAAAGACTCATTGGAGCTACAAAACAGGTAGAGAAGCATGCGCACACACACACACATGCAGACTTTACAGAATATATGTAAAAAAAAGTTTCGGATGAATTTAAAGCTTATTTGTGTAGATAGAAAGTGCTGAAGATGATAACAAAATATATTGGCAAAAAGTGTTGTAAAACACATTTAAGTTTTTTTTTTTTTCAATTTGTTGTTGAATCTATCGACAGCTTAGAGAGATAAACGAATGTAAACTATATTAATTTGCCAAAGAATACCTTTCATTTGATTAAAATATTCCATGCAGCTCAAAGGGAAAAAACGTAAAGAACAAAATTCATAATCCTTTCAAAAGTATTTAGTTTCATTTTAATAATGCAAGCGCAAAAATATTTATGATTGGATTTATGAAAAAAAAAATAACTGGAAACAAAACTGGTAATAAATTGAAAACATTTTCATGCAAATTAATGTTTATTGTTTTTGTAAAGAATTGTCATAAATCTAAATTGAATGCATGCTGTTTTATCTTGTATTGAAACATACATATGTGCTTTGGCATATACAGAATAAAACCATTATCAACTGAGTATAGTTGAAAATATGAATATCTCTTTGTATTAGGCAAACATTAAAAAAAAGTAAATTTCTATAGTTTAAATTTTCTATAGTTTATACAACAAAATGCGCTTGGAAAGTCCTTCAGCCAGATTGCAATTCATTAAATAATGTGTGAGCAAGCCGCTTAGTGTCACACTCTCACACACACATATGTATTTTTATTTATGTATTTATATAATGCCTGACGTTGTTTATTCGGCCATATTTTAAGTGTTGCCAACTAACAACTAAAACAACAACAACAACAACGTGGCCTGGGATGCTGCACAAGAGATGCGGCGGCAACATGGAAAATGGAAAACAAAAAAGCACTTGAGGCAAAACTAAGCGGCAATTGTGATTGCGGCTGTTGTTGCATTTATAAATAGCGTCAAGGTGCGCTCTAGTTCTATTCACACACACACACACACACAGTTGCACACATTCACACACACACATAGTCTCAAAAACGCCCACGCCTGAAAATAGAAAATGTTATAAATAAACTCAACTGAATGCAACCCAAGGATCAACTCGGTGCTATATGGGGACTAAATGGAACATGATTTTTCATCAAATTATCATTGACAAAGCCTAGTACGAAACTGTATGTGACATTTGGCCCGAGACAGGCTTTTAGCCATTGGCTTGTTATGTTACAATAATACCATGCGAAGGGCAAGTGCTGTGACCTTTTGGGGCCTGGTCAAATATTTGTTACCTAAACGCTTAGACACGCAATGCGGAAAACGGCAATAAGAAGGCGTGAAATGATTCAAACGCTATACCAAATTCTCTAATCACTTGAGGGTGTTTCGCTTCCTTGGACTTGGATATCAAACTACATAGGTTTTCGCGCACTCAGCCAATGGCATATATGAATGTATGTGTACTAGGCCAACAAGAAATTTTTATAAGTAATTGGAAAGGAAAGCAAACAAAAATAAATAGAGGATATCAAGTTGCTATATTTGAAATGTTCAATATTATTTTAATGTTCAATTTACTATGCGAAAACTATGCACAATGGTTGGTAAAATTAATACAGAATCTAATAATTTTGACAACTTGAATATAAGAAATGAATATGATATGAATATAATCAAATATTTTTATATTTTATTATGCTTCATTATATTTATACGTTTTTAGATACATTTAAAAGAAAATTATATTTCTAGCTCTTACTTCATGTATGCCTATAATTTACTGTTTATTTATTTATTGTTCAGTTAAACAAAAGATTAGCCATATTTCCTGACAAACTTACACAAGCCAAAACAATCAGAAAACATGAATCAAACAAAACTTTATGGCGTGCTGTATCCGATTTTCATATGTTACCTAGAATCATACAGAATAGATGAGGGAAAGAAAGCTCTTTAAGAGATACACGTTTCGTCGTTATAACCGGATTCTACTGTATCAGGGTTTTCATGTATATTTATGCACACAAATTTCTTATAATGTTACATCTTAAGATGTAATTTTTCTACTTTAATACAGAAAATGTAACAAAATTGATAAGAATTTTAAGAAGAAAAAAAAAAAAAAAAGAAATCTGTAAGAATAAAATGGTATATTTATTAGGTATTAATTCAGTGTCATTCAGTAATTCATTCATTTTGAAATTACTGCCCTGAATTTAGGCTAAAGATTCAGATTCAGAACGTTTAATTTTGATTTTCCAAGTTAACTGCACATTCTCTCTGAAAATTCAATAATTATGGTTTATCTATTACTTAGTCCTGGCTTCCATATATGAAGACATTCTAATTGTAATTGTTTTATTCTTCCTCTATTATAAATTCTGGATTATAGCATGACTATGCGTATTAAATAATACATAATATTATAATA